GGATGCTTATCCGCTGTAGTCCACGAAAGCTTATGCTCTAATAAATTTGTTAGTCTCTAAGGTGCCACAAGTACTCCTGCTCTTTTTGCGGATACAGACTAACACAGCTGCTACTCTGAAACTTAACAAAACTACTTGCTCATAAGATGAAGAGGGTCCTAAGGACATCCCCTGAAAGTACTGAGGCAGTGAAAGAATTACAGCAATTAGCATTACATTTAAACAAGTCTGAAAGAGGAGGATTTTCCAATAATTCCATGGAAATAGGGAGGAGAAGAGTACAAAAACTCTGAAGTGAGCACACTTCATGCACGTGCCCTCTGCTACAGTGCTCAAACGCAGCACCCAACACAACCCATCCTGTCCATCTCTACGAGCAACCTGCCACAGACAGCTAAGACTCAAGAAGAAACCTACCCAAGGTAAACCACTCCAAGACTTCGGCATAAATCGGTGAGAGAAATTAAACAAAGACAATGCCAAGGGATTACATTTAAAACTATTGTAATGATTTTATTTGCATATGGAAATCCTATTGTAATTTATTATACTAATAGTTTCTCCTGTTAATCACCAAATGGATAAAACCTGGAGAGGAGCCTCGGACTAAACAATGATAACAGAGAAATAGTTGGATTTAACTGGATTTAACATTCTGAATATTCATAAAGGGCCTGTCTTAAGAGAGTTCCTTAAATGGCTTTTTTTAAAGTAACTGATTTAAATATTTTCTTTGATTTCAGAGGATTTAGTTAAGGTTGCTTACTTTGCCCAATTATAAATGGGTTATGTTATCAGTGACAGACTAGACAGCACCCACCTTTCCTTAAACAAATTATTTGCTCAGTTATAAACAGTTTAAGTATCTATAAGATACTAAGATGGGCTCACAATGAACATGGGTAACAATATACTCTGGTCTTAACTTACCAAATGAAGAATGCCCCCAGAGGCAGATCCACTCTCAAAGGTGTAATTTCTGTTAAAAGCTCTCCATGGAGAGGTGTACAGAAGAGATTGTAATGGAAGTAACCAGTTTATCATTTGTGTTCTGTCATTTATATTGGTTTAAGGTTTTCTTTCCCTTTCTTCAATAATAAAATATCCATGGTGAATAACTATGATTATTTTGCTTTATTTTAAACACGGTATCCCTTGAGGTATGTAAAAGAACCTCTGTGACTAAAATAGTGGGGGTCACATGCCTGAACTGGTAATAAGAGAAACAATTAGTAAGAGCTGGTCTTCCATTTTTGTTCTATAAGGTAAATATTTTTAGTATTTTTAAATGGATTTACTCAGCATCCAACAGTTTAAAATTACTACTCCCCTTTCTCCCCTACATCTGCTTGATCAACATGTTGTAATCAAGCTGTGGCCATTAGACTGCAGAGGTAGCACTTCATCTATAGGATGAAGCCTAGAGTCAAGTGCAGTTGGCTAGGGACATTATATTTTTGAACGCTGAAACATCAGCTTCCCACAATTAATAAAATGAATTCCTGATACTTTTAGCCTTCCACAGTAATAAACACTAATTACTTTGCTTGGATTACCAACAGGGGAGCCTATTTTCAAATGCATAAATTACTTGCTTTGATTAACACTATTCTCTCACAGCAAAAAATGTTTCTGATGAACGGACACACAAAATATAAATATATTTTATTACATAAACTGACAAAGTATATGGAATGAATAAAATATGAAAATATTAGAGATCTCTCACACTCTTTGCTCTTGGGTAAAATACACAGATGAAATATATCTATTAAAGTCTAGGTTGTTTTATAGTTCTCGTGAAGGGCGTAATGCATCAAACAATGTATATGAATATAAATAAAATTAATTGAAACAATAAAAGACAAAAAAATGTAATAAAATATGCATTTTGATATATTATTATATCATTTTGAAACTCGCTCTTCCATATTCTCAAACCATGGTATCTTAAACAAACGGTGTTTTTGCCAATTTATTGCCATGCTTTCTATGTGTGGTATAATTAAGGCAAGGGTCTCTAACAATTTCAATACATGGTTATAGGACAGCAGGAGCACTATTCCCAAAACTCTACTATGAAACCCAACAAAACAGGGTGTAATAAAGCATTTCCCACATACCAGAAAAAACTGGATATCCCAGTTTGTCGTAAAATTCAACCCCCAGTTATAGACACAAAGCCGGAATAAAGTCAGTTGTGTTTTGCTGGCACTATTTTGAAGGACAACATACACTTTGATGGTATTACTATATTTGCTGGCCCTATTGTTGAATATTTATTGTTTCTGACTGAGAAAACACACAGTAACTCCTGTTTTATATTTGTATGCCTTTGTTCCTTTTCTTCTAGGTGGATACAAATGTGCATAATGATCCTGTGCCTCTCAAGTTTCTTCTGAAATCAGGGGAATTGGTAGATGGCATTTTCCAGGCAGCACGACAGGAGTGTTTTACGTGGTACATTCTACCAGCATCACAGAGGCCTGATTCAAAGCCCACTAAAGTCTTTAGAAAGAGCAACTTTGGTGAACTTTTGTTTGATCAAGTCCCAGAAGCATGCTTCCAGAATATGATACAAAGCGCATTCAAACAGCACAGCAGCTGTGTTCCACCTGGACATGTTATAAGGTACATTCACCAGAAAAGCAGTTATATTCTCCCTGGCCTTACACACGCATACAGCACAAGAGCAGATACATTCTACTCAAATATAACAGAAGCAGTTTAAAAGTTTCACACACAAAAATACACATGACCTATCCATGTAAAAGATTCCCAAATGAAAAAATGCCAAAATGAAAATATTTACATACATACTTATTATATTACAATCCCTAAAAATCACTCTCCTTAAATACTGCTGCATTGTCGATGGGAGACCTTACCAACAAACCATAATGTTGTTTTTATCTATAGGAAATAAGGCAGTTTGAGATATTTACTGTATAGTACCTAATGGAAACTTCATGGCAACTCAAATAATCATGTTTTATTAAACAGTTTGAGTGCAGAAGAGTCTCACCACTTGCAAAATATGCCCAGCATTTCAATAAAACATCACTTTACTGGAAACTGGTAATTCTCTGGGTGAAGGACATTATCATCTGAACATTAAAAGGAAACTTGGAAGGGAGTGCATCTTTTATTTGTCATTAGTTGGGAGTGAAGATGGTGTTGCTCTTGGAATAATCATAACTTTTACAGAATTAAACTCAACTGTTTGGGTTTTTTTAAAGGGCTGCTAAAGTCTTAGAGTGAAAATAAACACTGGAACTGAAATCAAATGTTTATTTTGTTTCCACCGCACTTGACTCTGATTCTGCTTTGTTAAGTTACTACTGACAGCTCAGCAGAAGTTTAAAAAAAAAAAAAGTAACACCAGAAGTAAAATGACAATGGCAATTTCACAACTATATTAAAAGCCAGAAAAGTCCTTAAGAGACCTTTGGTCAAACATTTTCAAAGAATCACACTGAGCTTTAGTCACCATCTTGACATTCATTGCATGAGAGACAAGGTGGATGAGGTAATATCTTTTATTGGACCAGCTTCTGCTGGTGAGAGAGACAAGCTTTCAAGCTTACACAGAACTCAAAAGCATCTCTCTCTCACCAGCCAACACTGGTCCAATAAAAGATATTACCTCACTCACCTTCTCTCTCTAATATTCTGTGACCAACACTGCATGTTGACATTACATGATATTTGTGGTAGGCTCACAGTTAAGTCCCTGCTTGCAGCTCTGAAAATGCCCTGAAATGTGTTTTTGCATCTTCTAAATCTCACCCAGCCCTGGCCGATATCCCATACAAAGTCAAATTTCTTCTTTTAAATGAACTGTTTAGTACTAATGAAAGGTGCTGGATTAACAGCTCTAGAAACTAAGAGCATGTCAAAATGTGCAGTCAATGCACAGCAAGCTGAGGTAAAAACCTACAGCGCTCCAGTGGGTCACATGCTAATGAGATAAAATTATTCTGCTTAACTGCCAGGGGGCAAATTTGTCCCGTACACATGGAAGTTATACAGCACAGTTATAGCTATGTCTTAACTCAGGAAGTTCCTTCAAGAGGAAATGTAGCCAAACTCCAAACCTGCAGACAATGGACCTTTTTGAGCCTGCGTCCTGTAGATAAACTGCTTAGTTTGCAAAATAAGTAAGGAGGAGGGGCAAGTAGATGAACAATAAGGGGTCATAAGAGGGGCAGATACATGTAGCTTGCTAATTATGTATGGTAATGATGGCAAATTTTGGCCAATCATAGAGCGATAGATTATCATAAGCAACTGCATATAATGCTTTGGTGTAAGTGTTTTCTTTGTTCTTGCTGACTTATGAGCTCGAACCCAATAGCAATTGAAATAAACGGCTCCTTGCTTGGCTAGCTGTGTCCGTCTCTCCTTATTCCTCAGCTGGAACGGACAGAAATTTCTATGACACTAACCATCCACATGGATCCTGCTGCCATGCACAGACATAGTGTACACTGACGTCAGCAGTACGTCAACACGCACTTGGGAACTTTCAGCGGATTTCCATTGGAACTTTCCATGTCCTAACTGCTTGTTTAGACAAGCCCTAAAGTCCCCTGTCCACACAACAGACAGAACACAGAAAGGAGCATCTTCACAATGCCTAAGTAATGGAACTTAAATACAGGATTGGTAAGAAATTTTCCATCAAAATGTTTTTTCCATTGGTAAATGCTGATTCATTGAAATTGATTTTGGGGGGGGGGGAGGAGGGTTTGCAGGAAAGGGTCCATTTTTGACAAATTTTTAGACTTAAAAGTATTTTGGAAAAAGGTTTTGAAACTGTCAAAATGTTTTGTTTTGCTATTTTCAAAAAGAAAAATTCCAGTTTTCAAGTGTGAAATGACTTTTCATTTTGAAATGTAACCTAATTCTAGTAAAACAATGTAAAACAAAATAAAATGATCAAAATGAAATGTTCCAATTGACTTGAACCCATTTTTTCCCCTGGATTTTCAGTTTGCAAAAAAAAATTCATATTGGCTTTTCATCCCCATTTGGGATGGGAAATTTTTCAGTGTCCTTGACATTTTTTGGGAAACATATTTCCTGCCCAGCTCTGCTAAAAAAGCAGGGATGACAAGGCAGCTCATTCTCCATGTCCATACAGTCCTTAATCTCCCACTGAGACTATCAAGAAGGATGCCAAATTAGATATAGACATCTCCCTCTAGGAAATTACTTAAGAGGCTACCAACCCATTTCCTTTAGGTTACCAAGCAGCCTTTAACATATAATGATTTGCAGTCGCTAATGAACTGGTCCAAATTTGAACAGCTCTGCATTCTATTAACAATGCCCCAAGCCATCCTGTCCCAGTCAAATCAAATTTGTATAAGGGAAAGGGAGAACGATTAAGGCAGTGAAAAAGAATAATCAAAAAGAAAGGTTTGACTACACTGACAAAATATTTAATGCTGATTCATCTACTGTTTCCCTTGTGGGTCAGCAGGACATTCTGCACTCATTTGCTCTACTTCTAACTTTCTATTTCTTGGGTTAGAGTATAAGAGAATAAGAGTAGAGTAGAGAATGCAAGTATTAATCCTAGAACTGGTTGGGAATATTTTGTCTTAAATGTTTTTTTTTTCTACAGCAAATGTGTTTTTTGCAAAATCTGTTAAAAAAGTGGAATGCTGTTCTCTCTATGGTTGCATGGATCTATGTACAAGACGAACTGTGCTTAATTTATTTAGGAAATACATTTACAAAATCATAGGATGGGCCTCCTACAATCTACAGTTTGTGGAAAATGTTTCAATGTATGTGGAATCTTAATACATAAATTATGGGAGTTCCCTATAGTACCCAAGCTTTGGAGCAAGATCATCCAACAGCTGATATATATTTCTTTGTTCTTCTTATTGGTGGACAGCACCTCCAAAACTCGCAAATCAGGGAACAAAAGAGTGAAAGAAAAAAAATGTTGGACTGAGAAGTTGTCATTTCTAGTGCCATCTACACCACTTAGAATTGCAGATGAGTCACCATGGTCAACCTCAAAGAAGAGTTGATACCAATTCTGGAAACTAGAAGAACTCTACAGTGTTTAATGCTAGTGCTATCTGCACTGGGCACCTGTTTCAAAGATTCAAGGCTAGTATTCTTGAACCATTAAGAAGGAGTTTCATTGGACTGTAACTGGGTACAGTTCTACATGGACACATTTCCATTAATGGAACAAGAAAATATCTTAGGGTTAAAAATATAGTAAAACAATATTTATAAAAGTTTTTTTTCCAATTCTTCACAGAAACTGTTTAGGGCCATCCCAGTTCTCAGCATGCAGGAATGCACTCTAGGTTATGAGCAACAAGATACCACTTTACCCTCAATAAAACCAGATATTTCCAAAAGGAACATCTCTAGTTAACATCAGTTCCATTGTAGCTGTGAATGATAGACCTGCATGCTTCCTCTGGTTCATTCAACTCACATAGTTTGGGCCATAGGGTCACACAAATGTAACTAACAGAATTTGTCCTGGTGCTTTTATTCTCTTTTTACAAATCACTGAGCGCTTAATTATACTGGCCACTGACAAAGGTTAACTAAAACCGAATGTGTCATATTGCATGGCAACAATTTTGAGCATTTGTGCACTGACACCTACTGATAGCTTCTTCTTGGGCTCTAAGCCACCTTCCCATTACACTGATGCTGGGGACCAAAATGGCTCCCTTTTTTAAGTTATGCTGACTACAGCAGTCACACAGTGGCTGTTGTAGTGGCCAAGGATAGCCCGGAGCACTGTGCACTACAGCCTGGCTGGCTCCTCCTGTCATTGGGACTCACCCCTTTATGCCCAAACTGGGAAGAGCAAATAGCATAAAGCATAGGAGGGAATCAGCCACCTGTTCGAATCAGCTTGTAGTTCCCTTTGCACCACTGCAGCAGTAAGTACAAAGGGGACTTAGGTAGGGCTGAGGAAATGATATAAATGGTATAAATACACAATGTATTTGTTTCATTGGACTGTAACTGATTTTAACTAATTTAATTCCATAGGATGGATTATCTTTTAATTTTAATATTATTGTGAAGCATCTTGAGATGCCTTAGTATGAAGAAGTGTTGTCATTAAAGTTTAGGACGTTGTCCATTTCTGAGGCTGTTCTATCCTGGTTAGTACAAACAACAGCTATGTTTACATTTTTAAACTTGGCAGGTGTTTCTTCCCTCTCCCCCCGCCCAGCTACTTTGCTTTGCTCTGTGTCTGGTCTGTACATCTCTTGGCTGCAGAGCTTCTATCACATCTAGAATGTGGAATTTACACCAGTTTGATATATTATTCACATTTCTTATCTTAAAGCTGGATCATAACTAGCCACCCAGAGTCAGCTGATAAGTATTGATTTATATTTAATGTTTAATTCAACATGTAAATGGCACAATAAATAATCCCACATCCTTAAATCAGCTTCCTTTCCCCCTCACAGGGTAACACTTGTATCTATTGATTACTGGTTACCCAATAAGGGTAACCGGAAGTGTGGAAACTGACGGTCATTTCAGGACTGTCCTCCCAAGCATACGAAGACTGCTCTGGTAGCCAAGGTGAAAAAGACCATATATTGGTCCAACAGCTTGAAAAGCAGTGCAGCAACGTATTGTGGAAGGTGAAAGGCATGATGGAGCACTACAGAAGTCATGGCTATCCACTGTAGCTAAAGAAGCCTCCAGTTGCAACAGTCTTTGGGCCACTGGGCCAGGGGCGGCTCTATGTTTTTTGCTGCCCCAAGCACGGCAGTCAGGTGGCCCTCGGCAGTTACGCGGATTCGGCAGCGTTTCTGCGGGTGATCTGCTGGTCCTGAGCCTTCGGCGTACCCGCCGCCGAAGCCACGGGACCGGCAGACCTCCCACAGGCATGTCACCGAAGGCTGCCTGACTGCTGCCCTCACGGTGACCGGAACGCCGCCTCCTGCGGCTTGCCGCCCCAGGCACGTGCTTGCTGTGCTGGTGCCTAGAGCCACCCCTGCATTGGGCCAAGCTTCAGCAGCCAAGAGAATGGAATTGTCCCAGTGCAATGACTCTCCCATTTTAATCTTCACGCACGCATCATTCATGCACATCTCTCGTCAAAAGTCCTGTGGCGATGGGGAAGTGGCAAAGCGACAGGTGAAGAGAATTACTGGCAGTTGTAGCCACAAGCCTGCATGCAGGCGGCCTGGGACATTGGCTGGCCATCCCTGACCCAAGGGCAACAGGGAAGCTCGGCAACTCCCCAGTGACAGAGCAGCCCTTTTTAGGATTGCATTGCTCTTCCTTTGTGAGGGAAGGGGCTAGAAACGGTGCCTCAAACACTACCTGCCCAAATTAAATCCGGACAGCTTACCGTGGCTGGCAGATCATCCTCAATGCGGTTGAAAACCAAAGATGACTAAAAAAACACTAAAGATTGCTGCTTGGAACATCAGGACTATGATAGACAAAGACAACACCTCGTGATTTGAAAGAAGAACAGCTCTCCTTTCAAAAGAGCTAGCCCAGTATGACATTGACATTGCAGTGCTCAGTGAAACTAGATTGGCAGATGGGGGCATTATTACAGAACCGGCTGGGAGTTGCATCTTCTTTTGGAAGGGAAAAGAACTACACGAAGATAGAATCTATGGAGTGGGAATTGCAATGAAGACCAAACTCTTGCAATGTCTTGAAGACTTTCCAATAAGCATTAACGAAAGACTCATGAAACAATAGTTGCCACTAAATAAGTCACGATTTGCTACCATCATCAGTGCATATGCACCCACCTTAACAAATCCTGACGATGCTAAGGAACGGTTCTACTCTGATCTTGATTCTCTCTTCAAGTCAACACCACAAACTAATCATCCTAGGAGATTTTAATGCAAGAGTAGGTAAAGATAACAACAACTGGCAAGATGTCATTGGGAAAAATGGCATTGGAAAAATGAATGAAAATGGTCTCCTACTCCTAAGCAAGTGTGCAGAACATAGCCTGACAATTACAAATACCATATTTAGACAGGCAGACAAATATAAAACTACATGGATACACCCCAGATCCAAACAATGGCATCTAATAGATTACATCATTATCCGACAATGTGAAATAAGGGATGTCAAGATCACCAGAGCCATGCGTGGAGCAGAATGTTGGACGGATCATAGAATGATTAGGTCAATACTGAATCTACACGTT